AAATTGTAAGACAGAATGCACTTGAATTCACCATAATTTCCAAAGTTGATGGTGCACACCCAGAACAGGGAGTGGAGGGATGGGGGGAGAACGGGGGGATGGGGGGGAGGGAGAGGCGCGGGGGAATGAGGTGACATCCAATAGCCTCAGCTGGTGCTGGTTCCAACAAGTGGTGGAGATTCCCACTAACCATGGAGAAGGAGCCAGAGTTCAGAGTTCAGATCAAAAGGCCTGTGAAATGGCTCAGAGAAACTAGAAGAAGGAAGCTTTCTTTAGTGCAGTTCCTTTCCTTTCTGGACCCATGGGCCTGGCTGGCTGGGGCCAGTGAATTAACCTCTTTCAATCAGCTCACTTTTTCAACTGTCTTCACCACTGCTTCCTGCACAATTGATTTGAATCACTGCACAGCCAATCTGACCTCTCATTAAAACACATTGAAAAGAATGCACTGGACTTTTTCTCGACCTGTGCCGGGGCAGCTTAGAACTGTGGGTAAAAACTCTTGGTATCTTAGCAGCAGATTCCTTCAAATGTATGTGTTCTTAGTCCCCACCACAGGGAAAGAGGGGCAAATGTGCATGCCCTCTGGGCTGGGGTTGGGTGGCAGAGGGCATGAAGACAGCAAGTAACACGTACCAGGGAGAATTGCCAAGTCTAGGAATTTTGGAAAAGTATTTACATGGCTGACCTACTAATGAAAGCCCCGTGTGTGCAAGGTAGCATCCACTTTCCAGTTGGAATCGTATCTTGCCCACAGCAATGAGCAAGAACACATGTGCACGTGGCTACAGGTGGTGGCAGAGGGGCACCAAGCAAGAAACCAAGCGTGGGACCTGAGCAGCACCCCTACTTCTCACCTGCCCGCCTTCCTCCTGCTCCTGTGTTCCCTCCTTCCTATCTTCCTGGTGTCCTTCTCTAACCACTCCTCCATGAGCCTTCTTAAAGTATTCTGCAATCTCACTGCGTTCCCGACGGGTACTTGTTTTTTTTACTCAAAGATAAAATGGAAATCATGCAAGACTAAGACCTTCAGTCCAAGGCAAGATGTTCTTTTTCTTTCCTTCCAACTGCTAGATTCGAAGCAAAAAAACAAGTCGACTCTGTTAAGATCAATTCATTCTAATGAGCCCAGAGTGCTTCAAAAAATGGAGTGTTTGGGTGATCTGACAATTCACTGCCCGGGAACCCGAGGAGAGAACTCACTAAATCAGTCAGCACGCGGTGCTGCGGTCCTGTGGTCTGTGAGGAAAATCAGAGCTCTGGATGTGTAATGAATTCCCGGAGGGAAGAACGGAGGGACGGGGTGCTCCCTTGATCCATCTGGGAATGACCAGAGGAACCCGAAGGTGAAGGACCCTTTTATGTCTGGAAGGGTCACCTCCAAATACTTTTCCTTTTGCCTAAAAAACACCTTCTCAGGTTTTTCTTCCCACATCCCTGGGCACTTCTCTACCCCCACCCCAACCCCAAATCCCTCCATCCCCTCCATCTCCTCCCCATGCCAGCAGTGGGAGTACCCAGGGCAGCTCTGACTTCACCAACAGCATCGAAAGCATCCTAATAGCTTCCCAGCCCGTCTGTTAATTAGCCTTTGGGGGGGGGGAAAGAAGAAGCCACACAGTTCCTTCAGTGATTCTCATCTCCGAGACACTAATGAATCAACTCAGGGTGAGCAGGAAGGAACAGGTTTAAACGTGAGACTCTGGTATGGAATTAATGTCAAAAAGGAGCCAGTCTCCTGGGGCATTTCCGGAGCAGAACCTCAGCCCTTGGAAAACATCAACAGCCCCTCTCCAAATAGCCCCCAGCAAGCACTGTAGAAGCTGCTCCGGAAACATTAAAATCAGCGGGCACCTGAGGCCCCGCAGCTGGAGCCTCCCGGGCAGGTGAAAAGAAGGTGAGGTGGGGGGTCCTGGTGGGGAAAGGGGTTTTAATGGATAAAGGTGGGCACCCCCTGTTTCTCCAGGGTGGCACTCCAGGTCCAGATCATGGGGTTCCCTGGTCTCTGTCCCCTCCTTTCTCAGGGTGACTGTGCTCATCTGATGGGATCACAGTAGAGCTGAGCGCTTCCCCTACAGACACTGGCTTCTCCCAGGGAAGCAGGATGGCAATGCCTGATCAGTTCTAGAAAAGTTTGAATCTGTTCTTCCCTGAAGGGACTGAGGCTGTGACAGGTAGCCCTGCCCGGAGAGTGTGTGCACGTGGGCATGGGCAGGCCGGAAACCCTGGGCGGCTGATCTCGGCGCTCCTCACTCAGACTCCTGACCCTGCTCTACCAGCTACCACCTTCAGAGAATCACACAGGGAAGAGCTCCTTGCCTTGTCAAAAAGCAAATGCCCCTGTTGAACTATTTCAAGGAATATGTAAGCACAGGCACATCCCATCTCCTCCGCTGTCCTCTGAAGAGTATACATTCTTTCTTCTCCCTTCTCCCTGGGAGAACTCATCATGGTATAAATATTTACCTTTCTCCATCACTCGCTCCTTCTCCCTACCCCAAGTTCCCAACAAGAATTCTGCACACTAAACTCCCTGACAGCAAACGGCGGTCTCTGAAGTGTGAGCAAAGCGAGACGAGCCGTGGTACCATGCGCACCCAGGAGTCAGTCTGAAATGTGCACACTCACCCTGACACACCTGGGAAGAGGTCAAGGTGAGATGCTGCTGTGCCTGAGTTATCTCAAACTGAAAAATAAGCCCCCCAAGGTCACTCATGGAGTGTCCTAGGTGGACCTCTCATGCTTTGTCTCCCCTATTCCTCCCCAAAATAGACAGGCATCGTCCCCTACCTAACAAGCACCAATATGATGGTTTCCGAAGCACTGTCAGGCGAGACTGCAGCTGCTGGAAGAGGTGCTGTGAACTGAATAAAATCAGGAGTTGAAGCTGAGAGAGAAACATCCCCTATTTACATAATGGTCTGAGGGCTGAAATTCATCTCCTTTCCCATGGTTACCTCTTTTCCCTCACTCCAGAAAGAGAAACTGCCCCCAGTGGCATCACCACGGAGCCATACACCATACACCCCGGTGTGGGGCGGGAGGCGATCAGTGTGATAGGGAGGGGAGAAAACACCAAGAGGGGCCAGCCACACCTCCAGGGCCACACGCCAGTAGAACACAGGCCAGCGCCGGCTTCCAAACACCATCAGGACCTTTCCAGGTGATGATGAGCACACTCAGTAGGAGATGGCAAGGTCAGGGCAGGGGCCAACTCTCTCTATAAGAACAGAGAACAAGGACTCAGACAAGAAAGAAACCCAAAGAAAGTGTTGTGGGATCAACCAGAAGGCCACAGCCAGGGTGGAAGGCGTGATCCTAAGCCAGGACCACAGGAGGCTAAAAAGGAGACAGGCCTCGGGGGGCTGGAAGCAGCGATGGAGCCATAAGGACCAGATACATCTGCTTCAGAAAGGTGCTCGCCCACAGGCAATTCCCTCTCTGCTTTCCTTCTCTGTTTAGAGAGAATGTCTTCATCAGGCAAGACCCAGAGGAGAGAGTGTTCTTGTCTTGCTGTCCATCCCCCCTGCCTTCTGCTTTTGAGAACCGGCACTGGCCACAGACCACTTGCCACAATTCCCCCATCAGTTCCCAGGACCAGCGCAGGCACAGTCTCACTACTTCAGAAATAAGATGGGGTAGAATGGAGGATAGTGGCACTTTTCAGTGATGAGCGAGCGTCACAAACAGGACTCCAGGAAGGGACCTAAGCCCAGCACCCAAGGTATCAGTATGGCAGTACCCACACTTAGAGGATTTGACTCAGATCCAGGGAGCATCCTCTTTTCTCAACATCCAGTTTCAAGGAGGGTGGGGGGGGGGGGGGAAGATTGCTCAGAAATGTCTATCTGCCTCTCTCTCTTCATCAAGGTACAGGTGATTCATGTCCACGGCAGTGTGGGAACAGGGTTTTCAAGACAAAAGACTAACACACAGAGTGCCCAGAGGAGCTAACGGTCTATGGCTCAGGGTGGGTTCCTGATGGATAAACTGGGAAGCAGGACTGGGTGGAGAGGTGGTCCGGGGTCCTAGGGCCGTGCACACGACACGTTTCAGAAATGGAGCACTGTCCCGGGCCAGGGTTTGTTCCCTGAGAAGACTCTGTCGAACCACGAACCACGTCCAGCCAGCCATCATCCTGAGGGGACTGGAAGCAAAGCAAGTTTCAATCCCCTGGGTGCTTTGTTCCTGGAGTAGCCCAAAGAAGCTGCTCCCCTCTTCGCTGGGCTTTGCCTTCCCAGGGGGCTCACTGGGAGCTGGAGCGGTGGGATGGGAGGCTGTCGGGGTGAAACCACGGACCACCAACCACCTTTTGTAAGTTCTGGTGGGAGGCGCGGCCCCCACGGCCTCCAGATTTGAAGCCGTGAAAGATGCCCAGCGGGTTTGGCACAGCGAGAAGTGTTAGCTCGGAGTTCTGCCTACGGGGTTTAAAGGAACAAGTCCTCCGGGCTCAGCACGAAAGATAAGCAGCCCACTCGGCAGGATGCGGTAAAGAGACACCATCTGCCCTTGGTCAAGCCTGTCGCCCCCATCTCTCTAACACCATCCAGTGTAACACTTAGTCACTCGGTACTCTTTCCCGTAAGGTTCCAGCATCGGTCAGTTTCCTTTACTGAAGACAATGCTCCAGTCTGACTCAGAAAACCAAATGCATGAAGAGCCTGCATCCAAGTGCCCACCTGCCATAAAAACTGTGCCCTGGACCCTCCCCCAGGATGACAGAGTGTGCGCAATTCTTACCCTCAAGCTTCACAGACCCCTGCCAATCCTGGCTATACTCTGTAAAGCCCCCTACGCCTCAAGCACAGGAGGCAAGAGGCGTTGATTTATCGCATGTCAAAGGAAACAAGGGTGAACGTGACTTTAGAGTCAGGAGGGACCCGGGGATGCCGAGAGAGCGAAGAGGGCCAGGGGAGCCCCGTTAAGAGAAGAGCGTATAAAGAGGGGTGAGGCTCCCGGAGCCTGGAGGGTGGGGGGGCACCTGCCAGAGGCTCTCTCACCTGTGGATGTTCATCTCCCTCGGCGGGCGGTGGGCCTTATCGTAGGAGACCTTGGCGAAGACGCCGGCCACGATGACGAAGGCGATCACCCCGCAGGTGATGTAGACGGTGAAGTTGGTCTTGTCCTTCTCGGGGTCGTACTTGTTCTCGGGCCCCGGCGACACCACCTTGGTGCTGGGCGTCTGCACCCACACGGGGCTCTGGTAGTTGTTGCACTGGCGCTGGTCCAGCTTCTCGTGGCGCTTCTTGCAGCAGAAGCGGTAGTAGCAGGTGCCGCAGCAGTACAGGTAGCCACTCTCGCTGTTGTTGCACTCGAACTCCTTGTCGTACTGGCCGCTCACGTCGTAGTAGCCCCAGCACGTCTCGTAGGTGACGGCCGCGCTGGCAGCCGCCGCCGCCGCCGCCACCGCCGCCGCCGCCGGCTGTCCCCGCCGGCTCCCCGCCTCCGGGACGCCGCTGCCGGCAGCCCGGGCGGTGCCGTTCAGCTCGCGGCCGCCCCGGGCCAGGGCGCCCCCGGGCCGCCGGCCCCCGACGGCAGGGGAGCCGGCGGCGCTCAGGGTCCGGTTGGCCGCGCGGCTGCGGGCGCCCTGGGCGCCGGGCAGCAGGTCCAGGAACTCGGGGGAGAGGAGCAGCAGCAGCAGGAGGCGCCGCGGCGCCATGGCGGGGCGGGCGGGCGCGGGAGCTTTAGGCCGCTCTCCGGTCGGCGGGCTCGGAGGGCAGCCGTGCGGGCCGGGTGGGCGGCGCGGGGCTGTCAGTGGCCCCGGGGCGATGGCGCCATCGAGGCGCAAGCGGCGACAGAGGAGGCGGCAGAGGCTCGTCGTGCGCCCCGAACGGCCGGCCCGGCGCGGGCTGCTGGCACTCAGGCTGCGCGCCGGCTCCGCGCTCCCCCTGCGGGCTCGGCGCGCCTCCGGGACAGCCCCATCCCCCGCCGGCGGCGGCGGCCCCGCGCGCGGCTCGGCTCGCTGGGCTCGGCTCAGGCGGGACCCGAAGCGCAGCTCCTCCGGGAAGCGGTGGCAGCGGGGTCCCGTCCGGGCGGCGGGTCCTGCGGGACAAGAGAGGGAGCTGGTCAGGGGGTGGAGCGGAGGAGGGAGGCGGGTGGAGAGCAGCGGAGGGCGCGCGTAGCCCTCGAGGAGCGAGGCTCCGGGCCAGGGGGGCTCCGAGCCCGCTCCCGAGACGGGCCCGGCGCGTTGGCCACGGAGGGCGCACGAGCCTCCCGAGCTGCCCCTCCAGGCGCCGCGCCGCTGCCCGATTCCCGGACCGGCGGCCCCGCAGCGCGTTCTCGCCGCGGGCGGGCTCCCCGGGACGGAGCCGGCCGCCGCAGGGGTCGGGCAGCGGGATGGGGGGGGTGCGGCGGCCGGACCCCACTCACCATGCCCCGCTGCAGCTGCAGAGGCGGCGGCGGCCCGGCGGGAGCGCAGAGGCAGGAAGCGAGCGAGCCGGGAGCCACCGCTCGCCCGCCGCCTGCGCTGGTGCGGGAGCGGAGCGTGTGCGAGGGGAGCGCAGGAGACACAAGCACTCGCCCTCCTGCACACGCGGGAGCGCCGCGAGGGGAGGGAGGAATCTAGGGGGAGTGGGGGTGCAGCCGCTCAGCTCACCGCCGCCTACGCTTACAAGCCCGGGCGCCCGGTGGGAGGGGGGTTCCTCTCTGCTTCTTCCCCCTCGCGGCACTGGAAGCTCCAGCGTCACCAAGGCTCAGGACTCCCGTTCATCCACAAGGCGAACCAGGCCGGGCGCCCAAAGAGGGGCCCCCCCGGAGGAGGGCGGGAGTGTGCCCTCTGTAGCTGGCGGGCCGAGGACCAGACCTTCCCTGCCTCTGCCCGATCCGGCCCTGGCGGCCGGCCCCATCCTATTGGGTCCCGGGCTGTGCGCAGCGAGAGCTGGAGCTGGGGTTTCTGCGAGCCTTTACCTCTCTCTAGTGGCGGCGCTGGCTGCAGAGAGATCAGGTCAAACCCATTGCTACAGGTTCCTAAACTGAGACCAGGGGCCAAATGGCTCCTTTGAGGTTGCGGGGCTACTAGTGAGCAAGGACTACACTCTTGTCTCCTTGGGCATACTGCTCCCCACCCCGCCTCCAACACGCACACAGGCACAAGCCCCAGCGATGGGTGGCACCTCGGTTTCCCTCTTTCCAGGACATTTTCCAGAGCTTTGGGGCACAGTGAGAAAAGCTGTCTGAGCCTGTAAGAACTTTGAAATTCCTCTACTGTGGCTGAGGCAGGGTGGGAGTGGGGAGTGGGGTGGGGGTGAGGGGAGGTGGTGCAGAGGGTGGTATTCCCGTATGGGTGCTGATCTGGTCTGTGAAAGAGGCCCAGGTGTAACTCTGTAACTTGCAAAGCCATGAGGCTGCCCACCCTAAGAGGGAGCCACAGTCCTCCTCTTTGGCATGGTTTAGTGGAGGAGGTGGGAGATTAAAACAAAAAGCAGTGACCACTGCCAGAATCCTGCCTGCCTGGCCTGGCCTTGTGTGCATATGCCCAGAGGGCTTAGGTTGAAGGCAGAGAGCAGGCTGTGAGAGTGTGAGGCGTAGAGATTGTCCTCAAGGCTGTCTATTCAATCCCATTCATGCATGATCCAAATCAAGGGTCCCCCATGAGAAAAAGACAGCCTCTCCTTGGAAGGCAGAATGGATACATTGCAGCTAGAACACGGATTCCAAGGCACAGGAGGAGATACCGAACCTAGGATGAGAGATGCACAAACTCTCCACCTGCTGTTCTCTCCCTATTCCCTTCCTCTTCTTCCTCTGTACTGCCTCCCATCCCCTCAGCTTCCTCTCAGCTGCCACCCTTTCCTTAACAGTCCTGTTCTAGAACCATTTATTCAGTGCCTGCTCCCTGTGGTGCATGCTGAGGTAAAAGGTGAATAAGACAACCCCTCTCTTCATGGAGGGCACAGATGAACAAATGATCACCATATTGTGGTGATTTCCCATGAAGAGGCGGGCATGGGGTGCTCTGAGAGCACAGATGGCAGGCGCCTGCCTAGCCCTGGAGGGGGGAAGATGGGAGTCCAAGGTAGTTTTCTTGATAGGGTGCTGAGCAGAACCTTGAAAAACAATTAAGAGTTAATCATCAAGCCAAAACCGGTTTGGCTCAATGGATAGAGCATCAGCCTGTGGACTGAAAGGTCCCGGGTTCGATTCCGGTCAAGGACATGTACCTTGGTTGCGGGCACATCCTCAGTAGTGGGTGTGCAAGAGGCAGCTGATTGATGTTTCTCTCTCAGTGATGTTTCTAACTCTCTATCCCTCTCTCTTCCTCTCTGTAAAAAATCAATAAAATATATATTTTTTTAAAAAGAGTTAATCATCAAACAAGAGTGGAAGGACACTCCTGGCAGAGGGAGACATCATTAGCAAAACCAGGAAGACACGGGGCAGCAAGGTTCTGTGTGCAGGGGATAGAGCAGATTAGCATATACTCGGAGGGAGTCTTCCACATAAAGCTGGCAGAAGGGCATTGGTCCCCTGCCAAGGAGCTTGAATTTATTCTACAGGAATTACTGGTGGGCTTTACTCAAGGGGAAGACACTGTCAGATTTACATGTCTGCTGGATCTCTAAGTCAACAGGAAGAGGAAACACTGGATGGGAGAAGCACTGCTCTGACAACCCAGGTACAAGTCTATGAAGGGAGGAAGTAAATTGCTGGTAGTTAGTTGGTGCCCATCGTGCAAATGACAAGCATCACGGAAAGAACAGGTTCAGGACAGCAGTAGGGACGGGCCCTTTGAGGTGCCTGGAAGAGCGCAAAGTGAAGCTGACCAGCACAAGGGTTTCAAGCTCAAGGGAGCAGAAAAAAGCGTACGCACTTGGGAATCATAACCGTCTCTTTACCCTCATATGATATGCAGGCTTTAAGTCGGTCCCTTCAGTCCTTTTTCCAGAGCTTTTATCTCTCTTCATGATTCCAGAATTACCCACTCCGTATCTGGGAGCTTCCTCACAATGGATACTAGTGTGTCTTACTCCATCAAGGCCTGATCAGTGGTACTAAGTAAGGGAAATTGCTTTGGTTCTTCAGACTGTCACCATCCACAAATATGTTCTCAACCCCTGTGATCATAAATGGACACTCACAGCCAATAAGAGTGTTATAGAGTTGGATAGGTTCTTAGGGGTTATTTATTCCAATCCTGATGGTAGTATACTATATTTCTTTTCTCTTCTATTATAGTTCACATTCAATATTATATTAGTTCCAGGTGTATAGCATAGTAGTAAGACATTTATATAACTTACAAAGTGATCCCTCTGATAAGTCTAGTACTCACTTGTTACCATACCTAGTTATTACAATACTAGAGGCCTAATGCACAAAGATTTGTGCAAGAATGGGCCTTCCTTCCCCTGGCTGCCAGCACCATCTTTACTCCAGCTAAAGCCACCTTTCCACTTTCCCATGCTGCCCAAATGCCCAGTGTGGCTGGGGTGGTGCAGGATGCCTGGGTCTTCACCATGGCGACAATGCAAGCATCCCACAAGTGGCCACTAAGTGCCTGTGTATGCAAATTAGCCTGCCATTTTTAGTGGGTTAATTTGCATACTCACTCCTGATTGGTTAGTGGGTGTCATAAAGGTATGGTCAATATGCATCTTTTTCTTTTATTATTATAGATTATTGACCACATTTCCTATGCTGTACTGCATATCCCTGTGACTATTTGTGATGGCCAATTTTTTTCTTCTTAATTCCTTTACTGACACTTCCAGCCTTCCTGGGTTGTCCCTGATTGTAGTCCAGGTTGGTTGCCTATCAACATCCATTTCCTTACTTTCCCCTCCTAGTTTCAATACCTGAATTGTTGACGGTGTGACAGTGTCCTTCTTCTGTGGGTCCAACTCATCAAACTTTCCAAGAGAAGAAGCATCTTTTCTTAACACCTATAACAACTATAGACAGCCTTTGGGTTCGGGGGAAAGTGACCCCATCCTTGGCTCTAGAAAGTAAATTCTAATTGGGATAAGCCAAACCATAATAATCTATTTCTCTTGCCAGTGATTTGTTAAGAATGGATATTCTAGTCAATACAAAATGAAATAACTGTTGAGAGATTCTGGGGAAATTTTCCTTGCTCTTAAAACCAGTGGTAATTCCTCTATTTTTTTTTATAAGTGTTGTTTTTCTGGTTGTTATGAACTTGAAGTGGGGTGGGGCCATGACAGAAACCAGTGGTTAGTTGAAACTGATACTCAGTTTCATAGTCACTAGTGCTGCTCACTAAATATTTCTACCTTCTAGAAATATAGTAGAATTATAATTCTGGGTTCATTTGTGAGTAGGAGGGGAAAGTGACTTAATACCAACAGGTCAAGAAATCATGAGCAGAAATAATGTGTGTTATTCCTGAACCAGAGCATCTACTTGCAATTTTGAGACCCTCTAAAGCTCTCATTTCCTTCTGGCATAGTGATCAGCAGTGTTCTACGTGGAAGTGGCTTTGTTAGACCACAGTGAGTATAGCCCATAGATAATAAAAATAATGCCCCACTATTGGCATGTGGCCTGAGAAAAAATATACTTTTACATCATAAAGCCACTAGAATTGGGGTCCATTATTACAGCATATCCTACCCCAGCCTGACTAATACACTGAAGATGGCAGATGGAAAGATGGGACTAGCATTTTTTAATTACTCGTGGAACTATGCTCAGGGCTCT